CTGAAGCGTTAGCTTCCGTGAGGCTGCGTGCACGAATCCTCAAAGTGTGACGGTGACATGGGGTCACGAACAAGCAGGTACTGGCAATCACCGGTCCGAGAAAACGATCAGATGAATACTGAGACCAGCCCCTAACTTGGTTTAATAAATAGGAATGCAAATGCGTTAAATATGTCAAGCCTTTATCGCGTTGGAATTGTTCGGTGATCGTAGACCCGAGGAAGACAGCAAGATCTGATGCACTTAGTTCTGAGGGACTGCTTGCAACCAAGAGCATGTTCTTAACCGCGACAGCAACATTGTCAAATATTACACTAAAATATAATTTTTTTAACGGTCAGAAGTGTTATACTTGTTTTTCTGCTGCTTAGATTCTGCTGGCCATGGATGACGATGGCAACGACAACAGTAATTTGGATTCAAATATGCAAGGGAGCATTTGGATTGTTATATTGTCGGAATCAAAATGCCAACAAGTATGAAGACAGGCTTGTCAAAACTCCAGAAGGACAAAACTTATATCAGACAAAGTTAACCAAAGTTAACTAAATAAGAGTGAGTTAGAATTTGGTCTCGCATCTGCCTCATCCATTAGCGAGCACCAATGATAGTTTCCGAAGCAGAAATTGGGATAAAAAGTTTTAGACATGACTGAAGGCGAAAAGTACGAGTACGAATAAGCGCATTTTGGTTGCTATCGAGCGGAGACGGAGAAAGAGCTTTTTCAGCTTAATTGATTTTTGCGGCCTTCTGTCGATGACGGGTTGGACGACGCCGGATGAGATGATTGAAAATATTTACTTCTCTCGAAATGAGTTTTTTCCTCGTTTCAATCTGCTCGCGGGTCATCGACAACATTGAGGAAGTACTGACATGTACGTATGGGAGAACGTAAGTATCGCGTGTGTCCATGCACTAAAAGAATTGCTTCACACCGAGGAAAACGGCTTCGTCAGTGTACCTCACAGCAGATGCACCGCGCATTTGTTAAGTTCAAACAGACCGGCATTTCGAATTCTCGCTTTAAGTTAATCGATAATACCTCACACTTGTGACAAAGATGTGAAATTACAGCGTCGTTGCCAAGACTTCGAGTTCAGAAGCGACCAAGGCGGAAGTGAAAACCGATGGTGCGAATATTCGCCACGACATACTCCTACAGTACTTTGATAATATTCAATGATCGACTCAATAATCCGATATGCGACGGGCACGAGAAATTGTGTTGTGAGTTCGCTTGACCGGAGTGACATCTACCGCATCTTTTTCTTATTCACTGCTGATTGGATGGGGACTGATTTTCGAATCGCCATTTACGATTAAGTGACTGTACACGGAGGGCCATGAGCATTTTGAAACGCAAAACGCTCTAACGCGTTATTAACACGAGTTCAGCTGAGGCCACCAGCGATACAGGGCAGCTTGATGGCACAGTATCCATCACTACACATACCACTGGTTACCTGGTGTGCAATAACGGAGAGGAACCACTTGATTGCCCGCACGACGAAAAAGAATGTCCAACAGAAGATCAGCTAAGAAATCAGTTGTCATAAGTGACGACACGGATGGATGCGGACACCGCACTGACACCAATACGGTTTATGAACTGCAGGTTATGCATTGCGTATGCATTGCCGTATGGTTCATTTATGATCCCGTCGATCAAGGAGCAGGAAAAACAAAACTGGGAACTTGCTGTTCCCCCTTCTTGTTTTAGAAAACGCTACCTTGGCGTTGTTATTAGCATTTGGGATATCAGGAGAGGGCTTCGAGACGTTTCTCAGCGGCAGCTTACTTAACACCCGTTGTCGCCACACTTCTTATCACTTGTGATAAACTGGTGTAGCCCACGCACACTGCTGACCGTGTTTTGACGTTATGTCGTTATGAAACCATAGCAGACATCGCCCCGGTGTTTTAATGGATGACGTTTTATGAAGTACT